ATCACAAAATACAAAGACCTGCAAATAGAAATAGAATGACTGTGGCAAAAGAAAGCAAAGACAGTACCAATAATAACAGGATCCTTGGGTGCAATCTCAAAACATCTGGAGCACCACTTGAACACCATCAGCACTGACAAAATCACCATCAGTCAACTGCAAAAGGCAGCTTTACTTGGAACAGCTTACATTATGCGACTATATCTTTAACATTGCCTATCCCAGGTCCTTGGGAAGGACTCGATAAGTGGATAAAAATGACAGATCCAGCCTAAACAACTGGCTGACTGTGCAACCAACAATAATATATGGCTAAACTGAAGATTCCTCATTTAGCTCAAGTTAAGAACAAAGCTAAATATTATCTTTATAATATAATTTGGATGTAGCAAAGTTGGAAAAAACACATTATCCCAGTAACATTCAGGATGTTCATGAGAAGAAATATAATGGCCTTTTAAGTACAGGAAACAAACATTTTTATCAAGTGACACTTGGCAAAACTTACCATGCTTCTTCTAATATAGTTAGTGGCTTTCTTTGTATCCATTCCTGACCAATTGTTGAGCATGTAGCATATACAAGCAGCACAGTATACAAATCTCATGTCATTTTCACTTCCTTTAAGGACTGCACAAAAAAATGATTTGCTCCCAGTTTTCCTAAAAATCACACCCTCCACCCAGCTGACAATGCTTCCTTCCTCAGAATCAAAGGAAACACTGATTCAGATAGACTCCAGATCTTCCCAGTTTTCTTATTCTAGGAAACCCTTCCCTAATCAGGCATTCTTCTGATGGGTCAGGCCATAATTCCCAGTCTTCTCAGTTGAAGGAATTGTAATCTAGTACATCTGTCAAATGTCAGGTTGGGGAAGGCTGCTTCAGAGCATTCAAACCTCCCTTCTGCTAACCAAACTATTCTTGGTGAGCAAACTGTTCAGAAACTTTGCCTGTCATTGCTGATCTTGTTGAGAAATCCAGAAAGATTGTCCAAAGAGCCCCAAGCTTTCTAAGAAAACACTTTATGACACTATTGCTCACAAAGTTTAGTGCATATTTTTATTTCTGAAATATTATTTCCAGATGGAAAGGAATATATAAAAATCTTTGACAATCAAGGCTAACATGTAACATATATATTTGGAGTGAATGCTAAATATTTGATGTATTATTTATTTATTTGAGTATTGTGTTTTTATCCTGGTCCAGTGTTAATGGAACCCAGTTGGGTAACAATACAAGAAAACATATAATTCAGTGCTAAATAAATACAACAGAAACACATAAACAAGGCGTCTAAAAACAGCTAAGGGCTGAAAGCACTTCAGAAAGAATGACTTTTACCTGGGTGTGAAAACCGGGCTGGGTTTGGGCCATCTATACCTCTGGGAAGAAGGTATTCCCAGGAGAGGGGGCCACTGCTTTGAAGGCCCCTTGCCTCATAATGTGACCTATGTGGGTCTGCCTTTGATGACTCTCCAGAAATTGCAGTGGGTGTAAAATGTAGCCATCCATCTCATGGTGGGTAAGAGACATTACAGCAAGTTAATATCTGTACCGTGGATGGCTTCCGATCAGTTTCCGAGTGTAATCCAAAAGGCTATTTATGATCTGTGAAGTTCTTTATGACTTTGATTGCAGTCATATGCAAGACCATCTCTCCAAACTGAATCTGCTGTCCTTCAACTTGAGAAGAGATAATTGATCTCCCACCCACCATGTTAGGAGAATGGGAATCTTGAGGCAGGCCTTCTCAGCAGCAACCTTGGCTCTATGGAATAACTTTTTTCTGTGGTTAGGATAGGCTCCCCTTTGTTAGCTCTTCCACCATGCATTTGGGTTCTTTAGTGACATTTGCTAGGCTATTTTTATTTCTAATGTTTCATGTTTGTTAATCTTATATCTGATTTCATGTCTTTTTAGCCTGTTTTTAGTTGTTTTAATAGGGCTTTATTTTTATTGCTCTTAACATGCTTTACAAATTGTTTAGAGCTGGATTGTTAGCCAGATTGTTGATATATCAGGGTTCCAATAAAAATATATTAAATAAATTATTATCCCTTAAGAGTGGACATATTCATTCAAATCTTCATTCAGGCCTGCCATGAGAGGTGTTTTCAGGAAGTGATGTCATGAGCTGTTGCTTTAAGGCTTTGGATTGGCTAAGAAGTAAGACTGAGCACAAAACTCAGGGCAATCAACACTGAAAAAAAGGCTCAGGTTCATTCTCAAAAAAGCAGCAGGTTGAGCAAATGAAAGACACTGGGCAAGTTATTACAGATGACCATAACAAGGGCAAGGGGGGACATTTGCGGGAGGCGGGGTTTGCAGCAGGTTTGTACCTCATTTGCTCTCTCTAGGGCATGTGTGATGACAAATATTGAATATTGAAAAAGTGAGGTATAGGCAACGTGCTGTACAAGTAGTTGGCATTTCAGCTCTCATAAACCACAATTCATTTGTGGACTGGATGGAAAGCAGTTTGTTAATGTTCAAGCCAATATTTTATTGGATTTCAGGAGCTCTGATAGAACCCACTGCAAATTTGTGAACCAAGTTTGGCTTTGTGATTGGATCACTGAGATTATTTAGAGCTTTTGGTGGTAATATGAAAAATGATACCATCCTTTTTAAAAGATGGGCAATATTTTGGAAGGAGTATGAATATGCTTAATTCCTTCTTTTTCTTATTTTTCAGCTGAACCAGTTGATGTGCTCAAAGCATTAGAATTTCATAAATCCCCAGAAGGAATATCAAAAACAGCAGGAATTTGCATAAACAGAAGGAATTCCAAAGGATCAGATGTTGCCTACAGAGTTTCAAAAAATGCACAACTCAGTGCCCCAACTAAACAATTGTACCCAGGTGAGTCAGTATAATGTACATGTTGGGTATGTATGTGTGTATGTGTGTGTGTGTATACACACATATATACACATACATACATATGTATGTGAAGTTGATTTTCAGTATTTATCAGTTTTTTAACTTTGCTTTTCTGTTAACCAGTTCAAAAGTTTTCATTTAATTTTCAGTTTCTATAACCAACACATTTATATCATTTTAGGTTTAAATGGGAATTTGAGAAATAGATTAGGTTGCTAGTAATCAAATTGATATTCTAAATATGAATTGCTTAGGAACATGGATGCAAGCAAGTTATTAATGTAATAGCAGGACTGCAATAGAAATTTTATTGGCTGCTATGGAACCTTTTGTTTGATCCCTCAAAGTTTTTCTTATGTTCCTTACTTCATTAAAGCCATTACAGGTAGTCCTCAGTTAAGGACCAATTGTTCAGCGACCATTTGAAGCTGCGACGGCGCTGAATGAGTGGTACTTGTGCTTGGTCCTCCAAGTTCTGGCGTCTCAGCACCCCTGTGATCATGTGATCACAATCTGGGCACTTGGCAACCGGCTCACACTTACAACGGTTGCTATTTGTCACCTTCTCTTCCGGCTTCCCACGAGCAAAGTCAGTGGGGGAAGCTGGCAGGAAAGGTTGCAAGTCGCTCCTGTAAGTCATTCCCATCATTTTTTCTCCTGAGGAGCCTGCTTGCAGCACCTCCTGCCTGCATTCCATAGGGCACACCCACCTGCCTGCACACGTGTGGCGCCACAGCTCTCCTTTCCAGACCTCCTCATACTCATGTGGTGCTGCGGTGCCCGTTCCCACACTTGGTTGCACTTGCACGGCATCACAGTGCTGCCCCCACCCCCCGGCTGCACTCCATAGCACTCACCCACCAGCCTGCTTGGAAGCCTCCTGGGACTTGCAACTTCCTGCTGGCTTGCCCGCCGATTTTGTTTTTTGAAGCTGGCAGGAAGTCACAAGTCACAGTCATGTGAGGTCCTCGCTTAGTAACCCACAATCCTCACTTAACAATGTCAAGGGGGAGTGCTGGGATTGCAGTCACTAAGCAATGCAATTACATGATGTCATGCTCTACAACTGCATTGCTTAGCACCAAATTCCAGCCCCAATTACTGTCATTAATTGAGGTCTACCTATAAAATATTTGCCGTTAATAAAAACTGCCAGTGACAATGATTGTTGGTTTTTTAAGTGCTGGTAAATTTATCCAGAAAACCATGACATAATCTTTTAGGTTTCAGACAATTTGGAAACAAACTTTGTAAATTAGAGGTTTCTACTTCATAGCACTAGGCTAACTGAAAGTTAGTAAGTACTTTAGACATAACAATCAGGAGTGAGCATTGCGGCCTCATCCTTCTCCATCTCTTTCACTGGTTCAATCATTTCATGTATTTGAAATATTGTCCTTCTCTTTTCTTAATGCTAGAGTGTGACAGTTGAATAATTCTTTGTTGTTATTAAATCAAAGTTTCACAGTGTATTCAGTTGGAAAACAATGACTTTGTTTTCAACAGTGACCCAGGATCTGATTGCTTTAATTGTGAGGAGTACTGCAGTAGATTCAGAGAAGTGTGTTAGGAGAGTTACAAAGGAAGAATATATTGTGACAGGAACATGGACCACACACACCTCTTTTTTTTTTTTTTTATGTAGAGTTGAGATATGAATGTATTGCAAGTATTATATATTACATTTTTTCTTCATGGTCTTTGGTTTAGGGAATCTCATCCAAAGCTAGAAGCTTTCCTGTCAGGAAAGTCAGAATGCAAAATTTGGAGTTTGTGTTGAGCACATTTTATTTGGCAAGTTTAACTGAAAGCAGGCCAGAATCTCTTCAAAGGCCTGTGCCCTGAGGGCAATGGCATCTACCTGAGTTCTTTCTTTTTTATATATGTAATTTTTATTCAAGAAATTTTTAACAAAATAAAAGCCATACCAATATTAGAAAAGAAACAAAGGAAATAAAAAAGAATAGTGAAGAAGTAAGAAAGAAAAAAGAAAAAGAAAACAACAAAAGTTTATAAAGAAGCAGCTTCCAATCTTTTTGCAATGGTTATTTACCCTCTCTCTCTCTAAGGTTACATCATAATTTCCTTTTTCCATAAACTACCCTTTCTAATCATCAAACCCATAAATCACAAATTCATTTTTTTCTTTTTTCAGCAGTTGGAGCTCTCAAGGCATTCCAAATCCTATTATATCATTATTTCCTGTAAAAGGAAATGTAGACCACTCAGAAGCCCATTGTGAACAATTTGCATGAGACTTTACAGATATAATCTGTTATATTTGTTATATTATGTAGTATACCTATAATCTGTTATATCATCTGTTTTGATTTACATGCCATGATTGATACAGGTGCAGTGCATAACATTTACGGCATGGAGGATTTATTTCTACTTCCTCAAATTAATATATACAATTTCTGGCCAAGCACAGTTTTGTTCAGGCTTTTTACACATTTTCCTCAAGAACCTATGATTTTTTTCCGCTTGACTCTTACAACTTCAGGAAGCAAAAAGTATATAGAAGAGATCTTTTTCACCTTGAGGCAAAACTACAAAAGCCTGATGTTGTTGCAGGCTTAAACATGTAATGTTAATACGTGGTCTGCAAGCTACGATGAGTAATTTTGTACTTCCATGGGATATATGTGACTGTAAGAAGCAAACTAAAATCTGATGCCTCTTTTTCTTCTCCGGGCAGAAACAAATAAATGCATTAAATTGCTTCCTGTCTTTCTACTGGACGGTGTTCAAGATGGCAAACAGTAAAATACAAAAGAATGTAGAACAGAACAAGTTCAACTTTTTAAAAGGGTAAACATTCAGCACAACCAACATAAGCAATTAATGGAACCCACACAACGTTTCACCTTTCTATAATAATAGGCGCAGAGAACCAAGGCCTAACTAATATACTTGCCTATGTGTATGACTACATTTCAGGAGGAGCAAAGAATCTGGTAGCCAGAAGGACCTGGTTTAAATCAGGCATTTGCCAAAGAGAAAAATGAGCAATAGCAAGGCAGAAATCAATGCAGAACTAGCTGAACCAACTACTTTTTGGGGTCCCTGCACCGAGTAAACCAGGCTGCCATCTTTAGAATACTTTCCTTTTCCTTTGGTGATGTGGCAAGTGGCTGTGTCTCCAGATAAGAATCTCTGTAGTTTTAATGAAAAGTGTAGTAGAAAGATTATAGAAGGACATATTGTGATGAAAACAATAAAAATAAAGAATGCATATTCATTTCTTTATTTAAATCATTTGTTCCCATTAGAACATTTCCAAGTGGTTTATAATGAATATGTATATGCAGTGGTTCATGGGGGAAAATTATCCGTGTCAGTGTTTCTCAACCCTGGCATGGCTGGCTAGGGAATTCTGGGAGTTGAAGGCCACACATCTTCAAGCTGCCAAGGTTGAGAAACACTGATTTTTGTGGTTCTAGGAGTCAAAAACTACTGCATGGCATACAATCAGTCAATATGCAGTGGTGTGCTGGAGCTGGCTTGTACTTGCTTGCGAGGGCCAATTGTTAAATTTTCTGGAATTTTAAATGCCGGTTGAGGGCAGAGCTGAGACCTGATACCAATGAAGCGTGCCAATCAGTTGTTCGGCAGTTAGCAGTGCAGTGTGCCAGTGGCAGACCTGCTTTTTAAAGATTTATTAGCACACCATTGTGTATATTTGTAGATTTGTGTGTGTGTGTGTGCACGCATGGGGTGTACACACACACACACACACACACACACACACTATACACAGTTCCAGAAGCTAAAGAGTTTTGGAAAACAGGTTTAAATAAAGCCATGAAAGACAGAACCCAAAACCTCCCTAAAGAATCTCTGGGAATATTATTAGGATGAATTCCTTTCAGAGAAATGATATTAAAAATTCTTTATAGAATGGAAACTGATGCATTCCTTATCCTAGCCCAGATAATTTTTATTTTTGTAATGCAGATGGTTGGTCAGCCTTTTCTGAGATGAAGGCTTTGGACTAGCACAGCACACAAGTGAGTGGGGCTGATCAAAATGCAGACAGGGCCAGGGCAAAAATACCAGTAGCAAACAAACCTCCAAATCTCCCAAATCTTTCCAAAATCTGAATTATCTTCCAGCTTTCAAAATGTTAAACACTATAAAAATTCAGGGGCAAGTCACAATTATAACAGGAATGGGGGTGGGGTGGGAGGGAATGGGACAGGAATCACAGAACAATTGGTTAAACCCGCCTAAGAGCTACTCATTTCTGTTGTAACAGATTGGGAGAGTAGCCTGACCTGTAAATGCTGGTAGCAGGATTTTGATGTCTTGCTCTCTGTATTATCCTGACATCTTGTGATGTTTGATAAAAGAATGCCTTAAACATTTTCCTCTCCTCTGTGCTTTAACACCAACCATCGTTGTCCATATCCAGATGGCAATGTTTTGTGACATTCTTTTGAAAGTATGTGTAATATAAGCAATTCTGAACAAGTCAAAATCTGGTAGCTAAGTTCTGAATTAAATGACGTTTCCAGTTTATCTTTATTTGCCACTCCACATATACAGTACATGCTTATGATTTTCTGTATGTGCAGTATAATGGGTGGATCCTACTTTTAGAAGCAGCTCAGATTTGGTAAGCCTAAGAAGAAAAATGAGATACAAACAATCTTCTTCTCAACTAGAGTGGACAGGAAGGTTTCAGCAAAGTTGCTGATGTGCCCATGGCCATCTAACAAATGTATCCTACTGGAAAAACCAGCAGTTTTTCAGTTAAAGCAACAGCTGCTGTTCAATGATTGGCAAAGAAAATGAGCTCTCATTTAACCAACTTGGTCACTCCTCAGGGTCACCCCATGAGTCCCGTTGCTTGTTTTGCAATGTTTTTCTGCCACCTAATACTCCATCCTGAGTCTCACACTAATACGAATGGCTGCTAGAATGTAGCTGTCCCTTGGTCTTAAAATGGCAGTGACCTTGCCACTGAAAACCCT